TTATTTCACTAATTTAGTCGTTTGTTTGACTAAAAATGTAATAATCTGGAACCAACATGTCCAAGATTTTTTACAAATGTTGATTTTTTTTTTTGCCAGTTGACCGTCATGACTTCACTGTTGCATCAAGAAGCGCAGAATTTTATTTTATTTACCAAATCTGGTGCAAATAGTTGATTTTTGATGATATTTAAAATGAGACACGTTGAATAAATCGACAGAAAATCGCAATTTTAGGCTCAGATTTGGTGAATTTTACCAACAGAACCACACATGATGAGTTCAAGGACCGTCGGAAAGTTGAAAATCTGTTGAGGTTTTTTTTTTCAGTTTCTACGATTTCTATCTCTTTTATAAAAACACAATGAACTTTCAAAACCAGCAGGTGGGTTTTGGGGTTGAGATGATGTAAGAAACTGCAGGTTGATGAATTAAAAACATTTATTTCATTATTTTATGGTATTTAGTGCCTTTGGTTTGTGTCGCAGAACATCTTCAGAACGTCCCTACAACTAAACAAACACTTGATCTTCATGTTACGGCTGAATAAAGGTGCAATACTTGTTTTTCTATAAAATCCAGAAGGACACGTTGTGCGTTACGACGTCTGGAGGAAATAAATCCGGTCTGAGCTGCGATTTTTACTAAAAACAGAAACACAAAGTTGAGCAGAAACCGACTGAAACGGTTTCACTTGATCGTTTCTCCTTCATGTTTACGTCACAGATAAAGATGGACGACGGAGGTTTGAGCTTCGCGGCCGGAGAGCGAGGCGTCGTCCGTCTTTACGTTGGGTCTGAACGCGGCGGTTCTAAAGGCCCAGTTCACATCCAGACCTCTATGGATCCGGGCCGCTACAGTCTTTGGCACCGCTGTGAGGAGTTCACATTAATCCAGGGTTCAGGGTTCGTAAAGAGCTCGTGTCCTGGTCTGAACAGTCTGTAACTCACGGCTGCTGCAGACGGAGGCAGGAGGTCCACCAGAGTCCGGCTCAGTCGGACCCGTCCTGGTTCTCCAAGATGGGATCTGAGAAGAACAAGACAGTTGATCTGAAGGTGAACCTGTCCTAGAATTAATGAAACGTTCTGAGGATGTTCTAGGAACGTTATTAATGGGACGTTCACAAGAAAACACACAAATTATAGAAAAAAATAATCAGAAAACACGAAAAAAACTCAAATTATTAAAACGAAAGAAAACAACAAATATTCTAAGTTTCCCTTTGTGGTCATTTTGCATCACTTTGTGTTGGTTTTGTGGTCATTTTGTGTCTGTTTGTGTTTTTGTTTTGTCTGTTTGTGTTAATTTTGTGTGTCCTCCTGGTCACATTGCCTGTCTTTAAGGTCATTTTGTGCCTTTTTATGGTAAATTTGTGTATCTTTATGTTCGTTTTGTGTCTTTGTGTTTGGTTTGTCTGTCTTTGTGGTCACTTTGTGCCTTTTTATGGTAATTTTACATCAATTTGTGTGTCTTACTGGTCACATTGTGTCTCCTCGTGGTCATTTTGTGTGTCCTTGTGTTTGTTTTGCATGTCTTTGTGATCATTTTACATCAATTTGTGTTCGTTTTGTGTGTCTTTTTGGTCATTTTGTGTCTCTTTGTGTTAATTTTGTGTGTTTTTTTGGTCAAGTTGGTTGTGTTTGTGTATGTTTTGTGTGTCTTTCTGGTTATTTTGTGTCTTTATGTCGTCACTTTGCGTCTCCGTCCGCTCATCGCACGCACACATCTGGATTGTGTGTTTGTTTGTGTTACCTGTCAGTGTGCTGCTGATGTTGGGAGGAGACACGATCAGCACGGCGCTGCCAGACGATATCCCAGAATGCACCACTGGACCCTCCACAGAGGGCGAACTCAGGCCCTGACGCACACAGACACACAAACACACAAACATGATTCAACAACTGAACTTCAAACCCTGACTGGTGTTTCTATTATTTTGTCCACCTCCCGTATCTCAACAAAGCGAGACAATGAACAGAACCAGCATCAGAAACTATATTATTGTTGTATTTAAAAACAACAGGAAGCTGTTATAAATCAGAGCTTTTCAAAATAAAATCCCGTGTTAATAAATCTGCACCTTGTCAGTGAAGCCGCCTGTGATTGGCTCCTGCGTTTCCGTGACGACGCCCTCCGAACCCTCCAGGAGACTGGTGGCGTCGAGGCGGTCGTCCTGGCTCCGCCCCTCCACCACCAGCTGCGATTGGCCGAGGGGGTCGGAGGAGGCGGAGTCAGAGGTGACGGTCTGGATGATGACGCCGTCGCTGGAGCAGAGGCCGTCGGTCTGAGCAGGACGCGCAAAAATATGTAAAACACACATGACAACACAAAAAAACACACACACACCCCAATAAACACACAGACACACACACTCACCGACAGGCTGTGCAGGATGATGTGCTCGTGCGGCGACGGCGAGGAGCCCGTCGTCAGGGTAACCGTGCTGTTATTGGCCAGGCTGAGCGGAAGGCTCTGATTGGACGACGTCTGGAGGTAGTAGGTCCCTGGAGTCCCAGTGGGCTGCAGGTGGAACGACTGCACAACACAGACACACAACAGCAACAACGCAACGTGAGGGGGAGCGACAAGAGAGCAGGTGTTGTGTGTCTTTTAGCGTTTGTTTTGTCGCTCTGCTTCTTTTTGGATCTTTTTGTGGTTGTTTAGAGTCTTTTTGTGTCTCTTCAGTGTCAGTTTGTTTCATTTTTTGTTTTTTCGTTTTGTCTTTGTCGTTATTTTGTGTCTCGGCTATTTTGCGTCTCTGTTTTGCGCTTCTTCGTTTTCACTTTGTGCGTCTTCGAGGTCATCTTGTGTAGCTTTGTGTTTGTTTTGCATCTCATAATAGTCGTTTTGTGTGTCTTTGTGGTTCATTTGTGTCTTTTTGCATGAATTTTGTGTATTATTGTGATTACTTTTATGTCTCTTTACCTTAGTTTTGTCTCTCTATGGTTCATTTTGTATCTTTTGTGTTTATTTTCTGTGTCTTTGTCGCCATTTTGCGTCTCTGTGTTCATTTTGTGTCTCTTTCTGGTCTTTGTGCATCTCATTGTGGTCATTTTGTCTCTTTGAATGTCGTTATTTCAACAAACAGTTTTCTGAAAAAACACTAAATAATGATCGACTGTGTAGTAAAGTAACCATGAACTGGTGTGTGTTGCCCCGTTGTGTTGCCCCATTGTGTCGCCTTGTTGTGTTGCCCCGTTGTGTTGCCCCGTTGTGTCGCCCCGTTGTGTCGCCCCGTTGTGTCGCCCCATTGTGTTGCCCTATCGTGTTGCTTACCGGCAGGATCTCGAAGGTCTGCAGAGCTCCGGTGTTCAGGGTGATCGTCTCCGAGTCGCTGGACGCTGCTGCTGCTGCAGAGTCGGAGGCTGGAGACACAAACACACAACGTCAGCAGAGACACACAACAAGACACACAGACAGACCAGTTAAACATGACTTCTTCACTCATTAGTTCGTCTGAATGAAGGTTGTTTCTGACTCTCTGTGGTCATTTTTCTTTATGGTAGAGTTGTGTCCTGTTTTTGTCATTTTATGTCTCTTTCTGGTCCTTTTGTCTCCTATTGTGGATATTTTCTGTCACTTTGTGGACTTTTTGCGTTTCTTTTGATAATTTTTTGTCCTTTTTGGTCATTTTATGCGTCTTAAAAGTCTATTTTGTTCTACTTCTGCTAAATGTTGTGACTTTTTTTTATTCACTTTAAATTGTTTTGTAGTTATTGTGTCTCTTCATGCTGAATTTGGGTCATTTTGAGTCTCTTTGCAATCATTCATCATCTTTTTTTTTGCTAAATTATATCAATATTTGGTCATTTAGTCTCTCTATGTCGTCTTTTTGTGGCGTTATTTGTCCTTATATGTCTCTTTGAGATCACTTTCTGCCCCTTCAGTGAGTCGTTATTGTGGCTTTGTGTCATCTTGAGTCTCTTTCTGGTCTTTTTTGGTTCATTTTATGTCTGTTTTTGCTCATTTTGTGTTCTTTTTGTGTCTCTTTGAGGTAATTTTACATCCTAGTTTGATTTATTTTAAATTGTGTGACTTTGTGGGACTTCTGCATCTCTTCGAGGTGATTTGGACTTTTTTTAGTCATGCCATCTTTCTATTTTTGTTGATTTTGTGTCCTTTTGTGGTCACTTTATGTCTGTTTCTAGTCATTATGTATGAATTTAGAGTGATTTTGCAGTTTTTTGGTCATTTTATGTTTCTTTCTGGTGATCTTGTTTAAAATTTGGTCATTTTATATATTTTTGTGGTGATTTTATGTCTCTTCGTAGTCATTATGTGTATCTCTATGCTGGCTTTGGGTCATTTTGAGCCTCTTTGATCATTATGCGTCTTTTTTGGGTTGTTTTATGTCTGATTTTGCGTCATTCTGTGTCTCTTTGTGGTCATTTTGTGTTTCTATTTGCTCCTTGTCCAGTGGTTTTGTGTTTTTTTGCTCAGTGAGTGCTGCAGGTTGTGTAGTTTTGTTGTTTTCCCAGAGATTTAAGAACAGATTTAACATTAACCTGCTGCTGAGGGTTTAACTCGTTATAAAACACCTCTGACATGTTGGTGTGGACACAACAAACACACGCTTCTCACCCAGGTGTGTGATCTGCAGCGGGATCTGAACGGGGATCTGCAGCGCCGCCACGGAGCTGGGGGCGGGGCTTCCGCTCCTCTCGTCCAATCGGGTGAGTCGGATCTGCAGCGAGGAGGAGGAGGGGCTTCCTGGTCCGGACGTCGACTGCGAGGACGCCATCAGCTCCTGGAGGCCTTTCAGGAGGACTGAGGACACAAAGACGATCAGTGACAACAATGAGAGGAAGAAGAAGCGGGTGTGGTCCGTTTGTTTACCGTTGAAGGGGATCTCCTTGTGATTGGCTACTTGTCTCTTGATGCTCCACCACTTGGATCGCAGCCACTGAGGCGACCGGACGCTGCTCCAGCCGCCAGCCAGGTCCTCCCACTTCAGCTCATTCTCATCCTCCACCTCCAGCTCCGATATCCTGGAACACACCGGTTCAGTTTAACAAATAAGCCCAAAACCAGTTCAAACCAGGTCTGAAACCAGTCAAAACCAAATCTAGTCTACAATCAAGAACAAACCCTGCCAAGAACTTGTCTAAAACCAAGTCCGAAACAAGTCTAAAATTAAAACCAGGTCCTAAACCAAGCCCAAAATTAATCTAGTCCAAAACCAGTCCAAAAACAAATCTCAAACAGTCTAAAGCCAGTTCCAAAATCTCTCAAAAACTAGTCCAAAACCAAGCCCAAAACCAGTCTTAAACTAGTCGACAAAACCAGTCCTGAACCAAGTCTGAAACTTGTCTTAGCTAGTCTAAAACCAATTCTAAATCAAGTGTTAAACCAGTGTAAAAACCAGGTCTGAAGCTAGTCTAAACCCAGTCAAAACTAGTCCAAAAGCAAGTTCAAAACAAGTCTTAAAATACTCCAAAGCCAGTCTAAAATTAAGTCTGAAACAAGTGTAAAACCAAGCCCAAAAGAAGTCTAAAAGTACTCTCAAATTTGTCTAAAAACCAGTCCTAAACCAAGTCTGAAACTAGTCTTAGCTTGTCTAAAACCAATTCGAAATCAAGTCTTGGTAAAAACCAGTTCTGAAGCTAGTCTAAACCCAGTCAAAACTAGTCTAAAACCATGCCCAAAACCTGTCAGAAACCAGTCTAAAAGCCAGCACTAAACCACTTTAAAACAAGTCTATAACCTGTCTTAAAAACATATTTAAAAAACCCCTGACTTTATTCTCATCCTCCCCTTCCAGCTCAGATACCCTGAAACATCTTGATTCCAAAATAAGGTCCAAAATCAAGCCTCAAATCACTCTAAAGTCAATTCCAAAACCTGCCAAGAACTACTCTAAAACCAAGTCCAAAGCCAGTCCTTAACTGAGTTTAAAACCAGTTTTAAACCAGTCTAAAATGAGTCTAACAGAAGCCCAACATCTGCCGCCTGTACCTTCGTATGAGGTTCAGGTCGTCCTCCTTCGTCCACTCCGTCCCTCCGCTGTGTTTCCAGTTCAGGTAGTTCAGCCACTTCGACCGACACTGCTTCTCTGAGCGCGTGCGAACCTGATCGGCGACGGTCGCCCAGGAAACGCCCCCGGTGACCGCCGACCCCGGCGACACGCCCGCCATCTCGTACACGACCTCGGCGAGGCGTCGCTCCTCCTCCTCGCTCCATTTACCTGTTTCAGAAAAGTCAATCTGACGTGACGACTCCAAACTCTAACGTCGGTCGCTGATATTTATCGACCAAGGTGTTCGTCGCTTTACCTGTGTTGCAGGTGTCCTTCATCAGCCGGCAGCGGTCTTTGACTGAGGAGGCACTTCGGCCTAAAGCTGCTCCGATCGTCGCCCAGTCGTTCCCGTGTTTCTCTCTCAGTCTGAAACACATCAGAGGTAACATTAGAGTAAATAACAACAAGCTAACATGTTGAAGCTACACGAGGCTTCACTCACGCTTTTAGCTTCTCTATCTCGTCAGGAGTATACCTGAAGGGGAAAAAAAAAGCACAAATTACTCCTCAGACTGACAGAATGATAAAGTCTCAGTGTGTTTTCTGACGTCTTTTCCTCGTGAACTCACTTCCCGACGTGGTTCCGGTTGTCGTACATCCGTAGAACTCGCCTGTAGACGGCGAACAGCGGCCGGTTTAGCCCCAAAGCCACCGAGCGGTAAAAGTCCTTCCTCTCCTCCTTGGACATCTCGAAAATGATCTCTGCAGGATCTTCGATGCCGCGGCTCTGAAGGCAAGTTTAGAACAGATTTTAACATCTTCAGGTTCGATGAAGGCAGAAGTGATGAGATACAGCGACGGACGGCGATGTACCTTCACGTATCGGTCGATGTTGCTCATCAGGATGTCGATCTCCTCTTTAGACCACATTCCCTGTTTCCACTTGTGACCTGAAGTCAAGCAAACATTGAATCAAACACCAGTTAAACCAGTTAATATTCGTCCAAAACTAAGTCTAAACCCATCAAAAACCAGTAAAAAATCAGCCCAAGGAAAAGTTGAAGCCAGTCAAAAACTAGTTTTAAAACCAGCCCTGACCAGTCTAAAATCACATCCAAACCAAGTCAGAAAACAGTCAAATACTAGACTCAAACTAGATCCTAACCAAATCAAAAATAAGCTTAAAACTAAGTTGGACACCAGTTTAAAACTAATCAAAACCAGTCCAAAACCAAGTTCAAGACCTAAATTCGAAAATAGTCTAAAACTAGTCCCAAACCAAGTTCAAAACCTTGTCTACAAGTCCAAATTCAAACTAAAACTGGTCTAAAAACCAGTCTAAAACCACATCCAAAACCCAGTTGGAAAACAGTCAAACACTAGGCTCAAACTAGATCCGAACCAAGGCAAAAATAAGCTTAAAACTAAGTTGGACACCAGTTTAAAACTAATCAAAACCCGTCCAAAGCCAAGTTCAAGACCCAAGTTGGAAAATAGTCTAAAACTAGTCTAAAACTAGTCTCAAACCAAGTTGACAACCAGTGCAAGACAAATTCTGAAATTGGTCTAAAACAAATCTAAAACCAGTCTAAAGGCATTTTTGAAACTAGTTCAAGTCCAAGTCTGAACTCAAGTTCAAAACCTTGTCTAAACCATTCAAAAAACCGGGTCCAAATTCAAACTAAAACTGATCTAAAAACCAGTCAAAAACCAGTCTAACACCTGTCCAAACCACATCCAAAACCCTGACTGAAACTGAGCCAAAATGGGTCTAAAATCTCATCCAGAACCAAGTTGGAAACTAGTCTAAAGCGGCTCAGAACCAAGGCCCTGATCTCAACATCATGCAGTCAGTCTGGATCCCATTTAGAAACAGCAGACAGAGTTCTTCAACACACTAAAGTACCGACCTGTCAAACACCTGTAAAGACTGGAGCTGACTGAAGCTAAATCTAGATCTGATTTAAGTTTTTCTCTCATTACTGCACTTTGTATGAAACTAAAAAGCTAAACTAAGCTGCTGTTTGTTAGTCAGTACCTTTGTTGGCCAGCGTGTCTTTGTCTTCTTTGGTGGTGAACCAGGCCTGACTGACCGGAGACACTTCCGTCTTCTGATTGGGCGACAGAGAGTCTTCGTCCTCCTGAAGAATCTGCTCAAACAAACACAACAAGTTCATCACAACCAAAGTCCCGTCGATTACGTTCTTACTCCTGTTCTAATGAATAAAAGCTGATGAAGTCCTTTGTGACCTCGAACACGTCATGATCATTTCTGGGTTTGAGCCTCAGTTAGAAAAACAAAGTATGTGTCTGATAAAAGTGAATATTAATGTAATAAAATAAAAAGAGAAGGGGGACTTCACCTCTACCTGGATCTGAGCGACGCCGTCCTCGGAGAGATCGCCGTCTGCCGTCGCCGTCATCGTCACCTCGAAGCTCTCGTCGTTCTCCGACACTGACGACAAGGAAAGACGAAGAAATCAGACTTTTCTCTGAGAAAGTTCAACAATTTCAAATATCTAAAGCTTTATTTAATATTAAGGAACGATGTTGAGCAGCAGTGATTTATGGTTTTGGATAAAAGTTCATTAACCGACGACATTTGAAAAACCAGAAAGTCGTTTGAAAGCACTTATTGTTGTTCTGTATAACTATACTTAATAAAAGCACACTTTAAAAGAAGAACATCTTTCAAACACGCAGATTAAAACTATTCCCTTTATATTTCTTCAGCATACTCGTATATTTAGTCTATTCATAT